AAAATTAGCTGAAAATCTCGTTTTTACTTGATAATATAATGATAATATTTATAATTGTCTGAAATAAATGTAATTTTAAAGTTTTAATTATTATTTAAACATATTAAAAAGTTTTACGCTCATTATTAATAGAGATTGAAACTAAATATTTTTTTGTTTCGAAATTGAAATCAAGGCATATTCACTGCCAAAAGTCAGTTAAAAATGTTCCGTATTATTCGTTATTTTTTATTTTATTCAAAGTTTTTGGTCAAATTCCAAATTTTCTCTCAAACCGTATACTTTTCTTTTAGTGTTGATAGTATTTATTTACCTCATAATATGCTGCAAAACCTAATTAATCACGAATTTCTAATTTTATGTACTCTTGTCTCCGATTGTACCTCCCAAACATCCTTAAGCCCTTCTCAAATTTTCACAAGTTAATTTTTTTTTTTTTATTTTGTTTATCTGTTCCTCGTAGCTTTTACATTTTACTCATCAAATTTGGACAAATGAAGTATCGTTGGATATGTAGTAACGCTTCACGTAACATAGGTCATACTATACTTCATGTTAAATCTAATATGACTGATACGAAATATAAAATCCTCCACACAAAATAAAAATTTACAAATTCATCGAGTTTGGTACTAAATTAAATTCTTAAATGGACAAAACTTTTTTAAGTATTACGTAAAAGATATGAAAATCAATTACAGCTTTAACTACACATTCAAAAGTTATAGTGACTATACTTGTGTGCATAATAATTATAATAGTAATAATAACATACAAAAAACGCCCAAATAATAAAATATTGGAATTACTAAAAAGGTCGTCGTCACACGATTTATCTCAATTCAACTATCTACTAGAGGGGTGGTCAAACTGCGGCCTGTCTTAACTCCCACACGAATTATTAAATAATTATAAAATTTACTTATTTTTGATGTTAAAGTAACTCTATGCATTTGCTTAATCTACTGAAAATAAGGGTTAAATTTACTTTCTTTTGGTTTTCAGTTAAAACTCGAAAAATTGTAATTGTTGAATTATACTGAAACCAACGATGCCAACTTTATGACAAGTACTATATGTTTTTGTTAGAACAGCAAATATTTTTTATTGTGTAGTTATTATTTATTAATGCACCTCCATCCATAGTTTTACTACGAAATTTTGAACTTATTGAAGAGCAGTTAAAGACGTAGTTTTTTATCATCATTTTATTATACTTTTCGTATACTATTGCACATTATTATTTATTAATTTTTTTACACCGTTACTTTTCTAAACAAATTCCTTTTTTTCTTTTCTGTGTTTCAGTAATCTTGAGCTAACTATTAACAAATTATTTCATACAATAAACTTAGTAAATGTACAGTAGCCTTTATTATTTCTTCTTATCATACTTCTTTTGATAAATATGGAATTCTACTTTTATGTATTCAGTAAAATACAGCATTTTAATATAAATATCTTTTATTATGTACACCCTTTAAAAAACGATAACAAACTTTGGAACTATTGTCCCACAAACACATATTAATAAAATAAATACATATCAATATACCCACATTGCAATACCTAATCTTGAAACAAGATATTCAACCTAATGATGTTTATGTTCGAAAACGACGGATTTACCCTCGGATTTAACATGTTCATGTCTCCACTGGGAGCTGGTTGCAGGTTCATGATGATGGGATTCGTGCTTGGCCTCTTCATGATGGTATTCTTTCTTGACTGATTCTACTTGTTCGTGTCTCCATAGGGAGCTGGTTGCAGGTTCGTGATGATGGGATTCATGTTTCTCTTCATGGTGGTATTCTTTCTTGACTGGAACTTCAATTTTGATAGAAATGGGCTCTTCATGCTTTACGATCTTCTCCTTTCTCCATTCGCTGACTGGCAGACGAGGTTTCTTTCTTAGTTCTAAGCATAGTTGTGCAGAAGAGGTTTGCAAAATGGTAATATTGAACAACGTTTATTCTATAGTAATAATGAAAATCCCTAAACGATGTCATAATAATGCTAAATAGTTAGCAACCATTTTGGCTTGATTGTTGAAACCATTTTGTTTTGAATGTACCGCTTTGCTTATTTCTAAGCTCTCAAGAAGCTTCAATCTATACCCTGCTACTGTCGAAACAATTGTCGACTTTCGCCAATAAATTTGTGAAAAGGTTGTCAAGTGTTTTGTTAATTATATTTTTGTGTCTGATGGTCGTACTGTTTGAATTCATTTAGGAAGTACGCATTCCTATCATCGCTTCAAGTATTTCCATTTAATTTAAGGAAGCAATTTGAGAAATGACGAACTAATACGACGAAAAATTATTAAAAATATATAAAAATTAAGACTAGTTAAGAAAAACTCATAAAACTTTTGAAAAAGGTTAAATTATTCTTGTTTTGTTATGGATTCGCTTAAGTGAGGTGTGGTTTGATATGCACGAACGCTCCGCGTAATATGGGTTATATTACATCACGTTAGATCTAATACAACAGCTAAAAAACACAAAATATAAAATTCAAAAGTTGTAAACAAGACTTAGCAAGTACTAACTAGACTTCTGTTACGTGTAATAATAATATTAATAAAAACAAAACAGCTGAGACTAGTCATTTTAAATAAATTGAAACGCTGCAATTAGTAAACAAAAAAGTAATTTATTGTTGAAATTATTATTCTTGCTACTGGTGAGGCCAACATGAATCCAGCTACTTTCGATGAATCTCAAACTACCCAGTTGACAGCTGTTGTAAGCAATCAAATTGAAAAATTGAATGGAAAATTGGATTTCTAAGAAACTGCTGTTATACCATCCACCCAACCAACTGCTGTTGTTTTGGAGGAAATGCGTCCTTCAGACAGTGGATGGAATGGACTGAGGACATAAATAGGCAACTTTTTCGCTGCTATTAATACGAAGTGACTGAACTGGAAACCAATTTAACAAACTATAGACCACTTTTGAACAGAAAATTTACTAAAATATATCCTGAACTTAATTTTATAGGTCGTCAGCAAAAATTATCCGATCAAATACGAGTGATACATCGCAATAATAAGATACCATTGTTTGAAAGGGGAATTATAAAACAAGAATTAAAGAATATTTTTTCAATTTTAGTACGATAGTAAGCAGATTTTTTAACGCTTCTGATATATCCCCTTTTTCAGTTAACACAATAGGTTAAATTAGAAGTGGAATTTTTAATAATTACCGATTATATTTCAGGACAATAAGTACTATTCGCTTTATAAAAAATAATTTATAAAAAA